CCGGGACTGAATACGTCTTGGGTGCGAGTATTGACTGGATTTCGGATATCCCATGTAAAAATTTTGGATAGAATTTTGGATATACCACGATTGAATTTTGGATACTGGATATCCCATGTATATGTATAGGTATTTTAGGAGTCAAAACATTAATCCTAATAAACATTTTTAAGTTTCAGAGCAAGGGGAAAGTCCGTGAATTTACTTTAATTAAGTTCTAAAGTTGAAAAAAAAGCACATCCACAAACCCCGTCATTATCACGCCTTTTGACAATCGTGATACGCCGCATCTCATCCTCATCTTCGTTTTCATTATCCAGCAACAGTTTCCGACCCAGAACACTCCGCGAATATGTAGTATTAGCGGCAGCGCAACGCTTTTCAACGGCTACCTGCACTTCTTCGCCTTGATCAACTTTAACTGGCAAGATTGACACTCCAAAATCATTGTCTTCGCGCTTCACGGGCTGCCCTAAAGTGACAGAGAATTATCATAAAACATAACAAAGTTGAGAATGAAAACTTATGCAAAAGACAAAATTTCTTGAATTTTTAATAATTTTTCTGAATTTTTTGATTTTGAAAAATTTGTTCTTGAAATGACAATATGACAGTTTGGTGTTTTTTACAAATACATCTTTTACAAAAAAATAAACAAGATTTCCTAGTAAGCCATACTTTTTTCGGGGGACCCAGTGCACGAAGTTCCATTCGATAAATGCTTCATACTATTGCCTGGCTGTAAACTCGCACTTTTTTGTACCACGCTAAAAAAATGAATTAAAAAAGTGTAATTATTTGATAAAAATAATTAAAAAAACAGTCAATGCGGAAGGAGAAACTCCTATTCATAATTCAAACGGCAAAGTTAAAGCTGCTTCCGCATTTACTCTCTGTAACAGGCAAAAACTTGAGCGGTAGCATATGACAACAGTAACCGTCCTCTGGAAAGGATTCCGATAAGCAATATTTTAAATCCTCGATGTGAATCAGTACTAATTTATCATCGATACAAATGAACGAATCGTAAAGGGATTGGGCCACTCAATGGCGGTTTTTGTAGGAAAACAGCGCTACTCATTGTTGCGTTGTAACCATCAACACGTAAAAATGCATTATTTAAAACAGCCAATAATTATATATTAGTTACACCGACACTGTAAACTATAAACACGTATTAGTAGTAATAAATCAACGAGTGTTAAACAGATCTGTTTGAAAAAAAAAACTGCTGGGAAGTAAAAAGCTCTTTTATCCACTGCGGTGTTTTATGATTTATGTACACAAATTTGATGAGAAACTAAAAAAAACACTCAAGAAAAAGTCAATTTCGACTCAAAGAAAGGATTCGTACGGTATCTCGAGGACATACCTTGCTTCAGAATCATCGTTACGTTTATCATCAGAACGATGCGCACTGATAGCAGAGGAAGTGTTTTTCCGTTGCTCACCGGTAGGGAATTTCATCGATGCAGTAGTGAAATTTTCATCAAGCACATGAAATTGCCGGCTCACTGGTGGC